TGGGCCACTGCCTGGCTGTGCCACCTGGGCTGTGGTTCATCTTTTGAACTTATTTTTCTCCTCTGCACTGAATGACTTCTAAGGTCCCTCTTCCAGCTCTAACTGCATATCTTTTTTTTTTTTTAACAGAGAATACAATTTTATTGGCAACAAAGACTTCTTTCTACATAAAGTATTGCACAGGTTATAAATGGATTAACAAAATATTAACTACCCAAGTTGTTATTAGCACTTATATAACATGACTTTTTAAAGCTTTTGTGTGTGTTGTGCGTCAGGTTCCTATGAATAGGATCAAGCGAGCAGGATATAAAGACGACAATCGTATTTAAAGGAACTCAAAAGCACTTCAGTTCTGACAGTGTTAACTTCCAAATAGGAAGCATATATACCGCCACAACCAAACAAAGCATTCAATGTGTCAAATGACACCCTGCAGAATCAAGAACTAGGATATGAAATGAACAGAGAAAACTGGGGAAGAGTATGAGTTTATGTTCATTTTTAAAAGGCTATTCCTTTAATCGTCCACCAATGGAAGTTAGGATTCAGAAAATACGAAATTTCAAACTTTAGAGAAGACAAGCCAGATTTGTTGAAGGGGAGCACAGCAGCTATAGTAGTTATACTTTTTTTTTTTTTTAAAGGATTTTCAGGTTGCTCCATTACTCGCCTTCCTTGGCTTTTTAAACTTTGTACAGAGGTAAAGAATGCAATTAAAACAACTTTCTCTCCAAATTCTGTCACTTAAAGAAAACGTAGTACTCCGCTGAACTGAAAAACTAAGGAATTCAATTAACATGTCAACCATCTAAAAAGGCCACTTTGTTCTTTCCACGTCAAGACAAATACAGATCCTTCACTTCCCTCTACTGTCAGTGAGTATAGACATAGACAATCTGCATCTCTTATAAGGAGATAAAAGACATAGATCTTTAAAGAGGCATTGTGGTCCAGAGGAAAACCTGCCTGTGAGTTAAGAAACTTCAGCCTGGACCTGGCTTTGCCATTAGCTAGTTCCATGGTCTCAAGGAAATGACCCTAGGGAGGCCGCCACACCTTCTCAGGTCTTTGGGGGCTGGACTAGGTGACCTATAAAATCCCATCCTGCTCTAAAATTCTAAGTAAGTTTAGAACTCCTGCTTTAGGAAGATAGGAAGAAACAAGGAATTTAAAATGAAAGACCTGAGATATATATTTTTAGAAAGCGTTGCCACCTAGAAATTCTTTGCAGTATTCCTAAAAACTCTTATCTGCACACAATGACCATGCCTCTTACAAGTTAAGGCCTCCTGCTAAAGAAAGCTTTGATAGACATTTTAAAAGACTCTGATAAACCTGGCTAGGTGAGAGAGCGCCAGCGTCCTTTGAGAGCCAAAAATCCGTAAAAATGATGAGAACATTCCACGATTATACCCGCTTGTCAGATATTCACTAGATGCACAACTATGTGAAATGCAAGATTGAATCTAATCAGTGACACAAGGACAGTGAAAATTTGTTCTAAGAGAAGTAATAAAAGGAGATATAAGGTCAGAACAAGGATTGTTTTTTTCTTTCCAGAATAACAAAAGTACACCTCAGAAATTTTCTAGAACGCAATGTGTCACCTCAAACTCAATGGTTTTATTTGCAAAATGGATTAACTTTGTTTTCTTCATAAGGCAGCCATACATAGCAAGGCCCAGATCTTGAAAGAAACATGATTTCTTTACAAAGCCACGTGGTTGGACACAAGCATGCTTGGTGCTTGATGCCAAAGTAGTCCTGAGTTTTCAAGTGTTAAAGCTTTCTCACAGTTCAGTTACAAGTTCCTTTGGAACTTGTATTTGGGTTATTGAAAACAAATTCACTGGACAATTTGTCTTTCACAAAGGCCATTTCTGATCCTAAAAGTGTTAGCTGTGCTTTCTTTTCAATGAACACTCCATCCTGAATTATTCTTAATTCCATCCTGAATAACTTCTTCATCAGAGTCTCCTTTTGTCTTGGAATATTCTAAAATGTAAGAAAGGCCATTACAACCTCTGGTTCAGGACTCAACTTTCAGACCTACCTTTTCAGGTTTGTCTTTTGTTTTTTTTTTGTTTTTTGTTTTTTGGTTAGGCAATGGGGTTAAGTGACTTGCCCAGGGTCACACAGCTAGTAAGTATTATGTGTCTGAGGCCAGATGTGAACTCAGGTCCTCCTGAATCCAGGATCAGTGCTCTATCCACTGTGCCACCTAGCTGCCCCTAGGTTTGTCTTTAAGAAGCTGTTTTATCTTATTCACAGCTGCTGTTGTCAGGGTCAGGGCTGCCCGAGTGGGCCGTGGCTTCCTCTTGCTCAGCACCTGTACTGTGGCCTGTACCCCCAGTGAAGCAGATATCTTTCCTTCCTTCACCTCCCCCACCTCCCTTCCCCTTTCCAGCGATGTCCTGCTGCAGCTCAGCAGCTCTCCATAGACATGGTGGGCGGGTGTACTGATGCCCCTAACTGTATATCTTTGACTGAGAAGTCATTTAATTGATGGCAGTCATTCATTGGAAACTTAGGGGAGAGCAGTTTCTGTAGAATAATAGTTGTCTTCCAGCCAAGTTGGGAAGTGTTGGGAAGTGAGTAGAAAGTCTGAGCCAGATTGTTAGGTCAAAACTACAGTTTGCAGAAGTTGGTTAAGTGTTTATTATGTACCAGGCATTAGTGATCAGCAAAAAAATAAAAAGCAATCCTTCCCCTCAAGGAGTTTACATTCTAATGGTGGAGACCAGCATAAATAAATCAGTGCCTAGTAGATAGTTGGTAGGCTTAGCAGGGAAGGCAATAGCCACCAGGGAGAGGAGGAGTACTATAAGAAAAGTATCCTGGAGGAGATGGTGCTTGAGCTATTGTTATTTGTCCTTCATTCTCAAAGAGGCCCATGACATCAGGGAGGTGATGCCATGACATGCAAGTGAATTGGATTCCAGTGAGGGAGAGCTGTGCAAAGTCACCAGCCTCACTCTCTCCTCTGGAGCCATCTGAGTCCAGTGGCCAGACGTATATAGATCAAGACGACTGGATGCAGTGGGAGACCTTGGCCTTTTTAAGCTACAGTCTTTAGCAGGTCTTGCTTTGACTGAGGCCAGTGCTTCAGCTAAGTCTTAAAGGAAGCCAGGGCTTCTGATAGTTGGAGGTTGGCTAGGGAGGAGAGTGAGCATTCCAGACATGGTGGACTGCCAGCTCAATGCCACCAAGACTGGAGGTGGAGCTTCAGGTATGGAGAACAGTGGGCCAGGATGGCTGGACTGACTATCTGTAATGTGTGGGGAAATAGAGATAGGGATGGGGTTGTGAAGAACATTAAATGCCAAACAAACAGAAACGTTTCTATTTGGTCTTAGAGGCAATAGGGAGCCATTGGAGTTTATTGATCAGAGGAGTGGCACAGAGCTGCACTTAGTGCAGAAGATGCACTGGAATGGAAAGAGATTTGAAGCAGGCCTTCCAGTTAGAACTGATTCTGTTGTGGCTGCAGTTCAGCTGAGAGGTGATGAGGTGATGAGGGGCCTGCAGTTAGGGCTGGAAGACAAACAAAAGTTGTATACATTTTAAATGTCCACTAGGCAGCTGGTGATGCGGAGCTGGAGAGGGAGAGTAGGGCTGGATAAATAGATCTGGGAATCAGCAGAAAGATAATAATTGAACCCTTGGGAGTTGATGAAATCATCGAGTGAGATAGTGTAGAAAGAAAAGAGACCAGAGCCTTGGGGCACAGACACCCACAATTAGGGGGTGTGGCACACATGAAGGTCCCGCAAAGGGATCTGAGGAGTTGGTCAGACAGGTAGGAGGACAAGTCGGAGAGTTGTAAAAACCCAGAGATGAGAGGGTGTCCGGGAGGAGGAGGTGTTTACCATTGTCCAATGCTCTGGGAGGCCCAAAAGGATGAGGATTGAGAAGAGGGGAGAGAGACTGGAAGGGGGCTTGGAAATGGGGGGCGGGAGACAAAGAGTAAGTAACTAACATAGTGTCAGGGGCCCAACAATCTGATGTGTGTGCCAGAGGGAAAGTAGAGGATGCCTCAGAGGCTTATGTGTGCCAAGGATCATGTGACAGAGAGCCATGGCCACGCCTCGCCAACTTTATTTACCGCTGTTTCTCTACATTTCCCAAAGTGTGTTGCTCGGAGCTCTGGCATTCCAGGAGATGTGACTAGTCCTGCTTCTATAAGGAAACTGCTAGCAATATTGCTCCATTAAAAAAAAAATTAATAATGAATTTTTGAATAAAACATGTTACATTTGGCACTGAGGGAAGGATGAAAATAGGCTTAGTTTTATTTATTTTGTTGAAAAATTCCCCCCCCCCCCCATTAATCTCTAGGTCTTTTGTACATTCCCCAGGCACCTTGGACTAACATTTATGATTTCCACAACAAAAAAGTTTGGAAAATGCTGCCTTACTAGAATTCTCTTGTCCAACCAAATTATTAATCACTGTTCTTTGAACATGGATCTTTTGGCTTCTGCCTGGCTTGCCCTTCCTCATCTTCTCTATTTAGATTTGAGGATTCCTTTGAGGCCCAATTTAAATCTTAGACCCCCTCACCCTCTGTAGTCCCTGATTCCTTAAAGTGTACATGCAGTGTTATCTGCATTTTGTCTTTTAGAATGCTTATGCCTCTTTTCCTCATCCTTTCCCATTTAGATTGCAAACCCCTTTGAAGGCAAAGTCCATGTTTTTTGTGTCTTTGTATCCGCAGTTCTAGCCCTGAGGCCTGCACCCAGTAGTTGATGAATAAATGTTTATTGTTGAGGAGAGTGTACGGGTGTTAATAAGTGAGAATATAATCTTTTAAATTTGCTTGAATAGGGGGTATTTATTTCCTGAAGAAATCTTTCCAGTTCAGGGACTCTTGTGGATGGCTTTGGCCAAACAGTGATTTTAAATGAATTCAAAGTTTTGTGTCTGGAAGAATAACTGTAGGTTTTCATTGGAAAAAAGGAGAAAATTAACCTTAACATATTTCTGCTTTGCCCCAGGAATTGAGTGATCTGCAGCGTGACCCTCCTGCCCACTGTTCCGCGGGCCCTGTGGGAGATGACTGTAAGCTTTGCTCTGTTGCTCTGTTTTTTGCTTCTCTTAGTATTGAAGGTCTGAACACTTGCTGATGACTCAAACAATCCTTTGTCTCTTTCAGTGTTCCACTGGCAAGCAACTATTATGGGACCTGTAAGTATATGCTTCCTCTAGATAAACCTTAACCCTGGGAGCCAACCTGCTTTCTCATCCCTTTGTAGGATCTATTCTCTTAGACTGGTTTCGCTGTCCTCTGCCCTGTCACGTAAAAGGGAGTGGCCGGGTTTAATTTTCTCCCCCCACCCATACCAGATTAATCCTCGAGGGCTTGTTGGATTTCTCAGCAAATAATCTGACAAAATTGCTATGATCTCTTTGATTCTCCAAGTTACTAATCACGAAGCATTATCATTACAAATTGCCACAGTTTATAGCCAGCATTTGGTTTTTTCCTTTTTCTTTAACCCCTCCCCCCCAAAAAAGTAATTAGTATTCCTGGTGGTCTGAGTACAATCATCCTTATTCTACAAATTTTATTAGCCTAGAAATTAAGAAGATAACAATTAGAAATTAACACATTAAACCCAGTAGTAGAATTTCCCCAGCTAGCCATGGCTAGTTTGCAGTGAGTAGTTTCATTTTTTTCCTGCCCTGAATGAAGGCTGATGATTGCATATGCAGTACATCTGGCTGACATGACTTTTTCTGCACCCAGAGTTCATGACTGTTTCATGCTAGGCTTCTTTTCATGATCATTACTCTTGATCAAGAGGATTCTTTGACCTTTAATGGGTTCCTGGGGCACCCTAGAAATACTTTCTTTTTGAAGGTAATAAAACTTGAACAGTTTAAATCTGCTTGGGGTGGGGTGAGGTGTGATGTGTGGCTCTTCTAGCACCAAGTTGTGTTCCTTCCCCTCAGCTCCCCCTTGTTTCTCCTCTCCCCCACGAGCTAAATCTAATCAGTCGTGAGTAATTAAACTTTATTTTTGCCCTAAAATCCTGATTACTTAAAAGAAATGCCAAGACTGAACCCAGGATGAGAGTTTCCAATGAATCATAGAGTCATAAGTGTTAGAGCTGGAAAGGACCATAGACAAAGTATAGTAGAAAGAGCCATGGCCTTGGAAGTTATAAGATCCAGCTGGATTCTGAGTCTAACTCTCGGATGACCTTAAGCAACTCACTTCTTTTCTCTTTGTCTCAGTTTTCTTGTTTGTAAAATGGAAGTAGTGTGCCGAATGCTGTCTGACATTCTTGGCTTCTCTACATCATCTAATCATTTCATCATTTCTATTTCATTTCCAGACAATGGAGGATTAATTAGAGCTGTGAAGTAATGGTTTTCAGGTTCCTCGAGCTAGTTAGTGGAAGGAAGAGCCAAGAACCTCTGGGCATTGACCTCTAGCCAGTGCCCTTTCTACTGCACCACACTGCCTCTCCTAAAATGCCAACTTCCAGTGAACTGTTTCCTTTGGTTTATTTTTTCAGAAGGGGAGTAATATAATATATTTTCTAAGTAAATAGTCTTTCAGTAATGAGCAGATCATTTCTATTTGTTATTAGTTGCCTATTTAGAACAATTAGTACTAGAATTTTGAGGTCTATCAGTATATGCTGCATGAACAGTAACAGTTCATAACTCACTTGAGGGGTGTGACATGCAGCCCCGGGTGTCACTTAGGGCTCTTGCCTCTTCCTAATGGACAGCACCTGGAACATCAGTCACTTACCTCAGGAAAGCGGAAGATGTCACAGAAACTTAACTTTGTGGACCCTTTTTATCAATGCAATTACTCTTGATGAACTAGAACAAAGATGTATAACATGATGCATTGGGTGTACCCCAGGTTAAGCAGCATAACTGACAGCTTTGTTGATTACTGAAGCATCAATATCAGGCTCAGTAGCCTAATAAAGGCCCCTAAATGGAAGGGTCATGTGGCTTACAATGCACTTTACTACTGAACTTTATCAGCTTCTTCTTTTTTTTTTTTGAACTACATTATAAATTTTGTTAAAACACATTAAAGAGCTGGTGCTACATATTAAAGCCCACTCTGTACAATTGATAAGAAAACTGAGGATACGTGAATCCTAAACTATTGAGAAGATTGGGGGTGGGGTGCCGTGACATGGAGGGTTTCGCTCTTTGGTGAGGAAGCCACACCGAGATAGTAGCCATCATATGGGATTGGAAAGAGACTCCTTTTGTTGATAAATTGTGATTTGTTTGGTTTTTTAACTCCCCAGCCCCAACTCTGAAGCTATAGTCTTGTAGAGTTATTTTGTTACAAAGCCAAAGTTGGGTGTTTAGGTTACAAGATAGGATCCATTTCCCTTCAGCCTTTTCTAGTAGGAAGAGTTCTAGTGGTGGAATCCAGAAAGACTCAGGTTCAAGTTTCCACTTAGCCTCTACCTATTTTTCCAGTAGCAGGTGCCCTTTGTGGCTCTGAATCATCATTCTCCATCTTTAAAATGAGGGAATACCATTAATCCATTGTGCCACATCTCATTTTGGGCATAGGTGGGGATTCTTCTGTCCTGTTCCATCCTTACCCCCCCCAGTCATCAGAGCTGCTTCATAAAGATGAAAGGAAAATATTTACTCCAGCCTTTTTCTCTAGTTGATTACCACTGTAGAACATTATTTTTTCCTCACAGCCCATTTCTGTGGATATTGCAGAAATCTGTACTCACTGACGGATTTGTTTGTGGGTCATGTGATAGAGTTTTGTGTTGTCTGTTTGGAAAATCTTCCTTTACACCTGGAAAAAGAAAGTACTTTTTAAGGTAAATGATTTGGAATGTAGAGTGGGACAAAGCCCGCTTTTATAAATTGAAAGTCTATGGGGGAAATACACATCATTGGTGGTTACTGTGAACAAGTAGTGACCCCAAGGTGATGTGCATGTCTTCTTCTTTCAGCCGGACAGCGCATATCAAGGTGGAGTCTTCTTTCTCACTGTACATTTCCCAACAGACTATCCTTTTAAGCCACCAAAGGTAAATGTGTATTTTAAACTTGATGACCCTTCCTTATCTCCTGTGTTGGGAATTTTAAATCTTGACCATTTTGTCTGTAGCAGTATGAGAGTCAACATATTCAAGTTTTTATTACTTGGGTTCATTGAAGGTCTGATTTATTGATTCAGCTGTCACAAAGTGTATTTATCAAGCTTTGTGAGTGTGTTATGATAGTGGAAAGAACTCTGAAATTAGAGTTGGGAAATTTGGGATAAAATTCTGACTCTGAGACTACTACTAGCTATGTGACCTTGAACAAGTCATTTAAATTCCAAGCCTCCGTTTCTCCTTTTGTAAAAAAGGCTTACTGATTCTTGGACTGCTTACCTCATAGCGTTGTTGCAAGTAGAAGCGTGAGCTATACTTTCTTCTTTGATGTTTGTATCAATGGAGTGTTTGCTGCTTCGATTGGTTCTTTGGGTTCTTTGGGTTGATGGTCTGGCTTTTAGAAGTCTTAAGTCAATGATGATGGGTATTTGCATAGTATATAAATAAATTCAGGGCCAGGGATTTCCCTGTTCTGGCTTTTGCATGAATTTTGTCTTTTGACCTAGGCAATCATTAATTTACTTAAAGGAGAGAAAAATCCTCGTAGATGTCACTGAAAAGGCTTAACCTAAGAACTGTGGAAGAGAGAAGATGATATGGACAGTTATGAGGTGGAGGGGACAGTTTGCACACTGGAAGTTTCCTATCCATACTGAGGAAATCACGGTTCCTGACTCTCTATCCCCTCCTCCTCCCCCAAAGAACCCCAAGCCTCAAAGCTCTGACCATCAATCAACCTTCTTAGCTCTCATATATATAGAGTTAATATTGATCAGTAAAGGAAGAAGATGGAAAGAAGGAGGAGAACTGGGTGTTACCAGCCTTTACCTGGGTTCCATTTAGTCTGCTCAGTACCTTGACTGCACGCCCCTTCACTAAACATTTTTCTACTAAGGTCACTTAGCTAAGAGAAAGTTCGTCCCTAAGTGAGCTGGTTGGTACATTGGTGATGCTCTTTCACTGTCTGTGTTTTTTTTAATCACTAGGGGTTTTTTTTTTCTCCTTCTTTAGATTGCTTTCACAACAAAAATCTACCACCCAAACATAAATAGCAATGGAAGTATTTGTCTTGACATCCTGAGGTCACAGTGGTCACCAGCTCTGACTGTATCAAAAGGTAACTTCATTTGTAAGTTAATAACGTTGGAAAATGTAACCAGCCAAACCGAAGGGAAGATGAGAAATATAAAGTGGCTAATGAGTGAATCCAGGGGCCAAAGTCTCGGTCTCTCTCTGTTGCCACTCCTAATTCCTTTCAGGGTTCCAGGCTGGAAGCCTCCACTTCCCAACTCACCAATGACTTGCTTGTCTCTGGCTCTGAGGACTTTGCCAGGAAGGTGGCTAGGATGCTCTAAATAAAAGGCCAGGGTACTTTTTAGAACAGAATAGGGTGGGGTGATAGCGGGAAATTACCTGGGCAACAAACAGCCTTGGGAAGAAGATTGGGTTTTTCTGGTTTGGTGTCTCCTTGTTTTTGCCTTTAAAAAAAAAAAAAAGAGAGATTATGTGAAGAGGCTGCCATCAGTCAGCCAGTCGTCAGATGAGACTTTAGTGTGAAGTACTGCTGTTACTAAGGTGAGAAGCAAATTGTGGCCAGATCCCTAAAAGCAGAATGTTCAGATGGGACCGGTTGAAAAACCAAAGTTGTAAATGATGAATCTCCAAGTCAGAGCAATAGAGGATAAAAGCATTTTCACAATTAGGGGTGATGTAGGCAAAATGAATCCTTCCATTCAAACTTCTGGTGTTAATTATCAAACAGCAGCAGTGGCAGTTACTGATTTAAACAACTCATCACTGTAACTGATGCTGTCAATGTACCTCGACAGTAAGAGGTGATTTATTCCCTTCTCAGCTCATTGGATGTCCAGGCAGAAGCCGCAAAACACTGACTTGACCAATGTTGTTTCCCGTTTTAGAAAACCTCAAAGCCAGATCACACTCTGATATTGTTTACCTGGTCAGTTATTCTCCCCTTCCTTCCCCATACATTGCATAGGCAGGGGATACCTTCTCATAGCTTACTTGGCATTTATAAACACTCATTTCACCAGCCAGTTACTTTTTGTTATTTGTATCAGAATTTTAAAATCATACTCTGTGTTCTCTCTAGCAGTGGAATGTTGTTTCTGACCCTCTCGGTGTTGTGGCCTTCTGGGGCTGGGCATAATGGACAGGCTCCCTTGCCTTCTGTAACTCAGGCCAACCAGACTGGTGATATCAGATTTCTTTGGGTTGAAAAAACCAGCCCCTACAATTCCTGAAAACCCAAGAAAATTGGTACCCTTGTAGCATTGGTGTAAAGAATCCAGAGTCCTGTCTTCATGCTAATGTTATTTTCAAGTTGTTGCCTGACAACATCTCTATAAAAGTGATAAAATTTGACTGCTTAGGTATGCACAGCCATGACTGTTTCACGTGCTAGCTGGTCCTATATTTTCATTAGTGCAGAGTGGCAAATTTTCTCATCTAAAATGTTCAAGTGTTTGTTGCTGTCTTATTTAAAAAAAACCAAAACAAAACGAACCACCACCATCGTGTGATAGGAATACTGCATACCTTATGTATCAAAGATTGGTTGACATTAACACCCCATTTCCTGGATTGGTGGTGAGATGAGTCTCATTTTACATAAATAGCCGAGTGCGAACACTTACACAAGAGATGGCAGCCTGCCAAGAGACTGTCTTCTGACACTGCTGGCTTCATTTCAAGAATATTGAGCATCCCTGGCCTCTGGAAACTTTGTCCTTTGGATTTCAAAATGATCATGTTGTTTCTGTCATTCTCATTTGCTTTTTGAAGTGCCCTTGAGGCAAAGGGGAGTTTTTTCTGCCACTAGAGACAGGTAGTGCCATCTCTTCACACCCCACCTTTTTTTTTTTAACATGATATTAATGTTTCACTGTGTTTGTGTAAATATTTTATCTTTTCTGAATCCTAAAACTCTTACTCTGGCCCTTTTCACATAAATATGATGGAAGTGGAGTATCATTGTGGCCTAGACTTATATAAGGGGAACATTCTCGTGATATCCCAGAAGAATTATTTAGTTACTTTTTTTCCTGTGAATGGCTCGAGTCCTGGCAGGTGGGAGGGAGAAATGTCATTGGCTTCTAGCACGCCAAACTTTGTTGCCCACTTTTCCTCCCAACTGATCCCACCCTGGCCTGCTTATATCACCTGCTTTGGATTTGGGGGATAGAGAAAAAGGAAGTAGAGAAAGGAAAGATGGGGAAGAGAGGGAGGATATTTCACAGTTGTTTTCATTCACTTAGAAATGAAGGAGTGTGGTTAGTGCTGCCAGAAGAAGAAATGGCACCTTTCCCTTTGCTCCCTTCTTTTCTAGACACTAGAAATTGAGATTTAAAAGTAGAGTCCTAATTAATAAACAAATAAAATAAAAAATAAAAGTAAGAGTCCTTCATGATACCATTTGAGCACTCTAACAAGTAAAGGTAATGGTGTTACCATTCACATGATAAAGCCTCGGCACATTGTAGAAATCTTGGCAAGGTACTAGTTATTGATTCTGGATTTCACTAACTTCATATTATACCAATATGAGAGACAACAACGAAGGCTTGGCCAGTGCTTCTCTCCTTTGTATTTAACCAGAGTGAGACTGGGTGAGCCAGATGACAGACAGACTGCCCACCCGAGTTTAGAGTTTAGACTGATAACTCCCAATTAGACTGGCGTAGGTGCAGGCTTTTGGTATTCGAATGATAGTCTTAGAATATGAGGAAATGCATATTTTCTGCTATTAATATATATATATATATATATATGTATGTATATATATATATATATATAATCTACAAAACTTCTACAGTTCAGGATTCAAGTCAGCAAATAATTTAGTTAAGCACCTCCTGGATACAAGCAACAGCTTGACACAGTGGGTTGTCTGTCAGGCATTAGCACTAGTGAGATGTGGACTTTGATCCCACTGCTGATGCTAATACGTGTGATCCTGGGCAGGTCATTTAGCTTCTCTCTAGCTCCAACCAGCCCCTATGGCTTACACACAAAAGGGTCGTGACGTGTGTTGGCAGAGGGAGTTCTCCATGTGAGGAAATCGGAGGTCTTCTGGGGACCAGGTGCTGAATATCAGCCAATAGCACCAAAGTATATTCCATGGTGCCAGGGATACAGAGGTGAAGTGTGGCATGGCCCCTGCCCTCAGAAGGCAATAGAAATAATCACTGAAGAATTTTTTTTCCTATTTAATATTTTGGGGTATCATAGACAATATTCAGGATACTGTTCTCGTGTAGAGAATTTATGGAGGTCATAGCTGCTTTGAAGATAGTGTGTCTCATTCCTAAACAAATCGAATTCTCGATGTAATTTAGAGCTTTGGTGCCTGTAATCATTTAGAGAGATATGGTTGCATGTCGTTTAGAGAAATGGACTAAAAAAATCAGGAAGAAATCCCACCTCTGCCACCTGCTAGCTGTGGGACCCAGGACGAGCCCCTCGGCCTGAACCTCAGGTCTCCTGGCGAAGGAGGATGATGATAATGTCTGCCTCCCAGAGCTAGGGTGATGATCACCAAGATACTGTCTGTAAGCTCTTTGAAAGCCTTAGAGAACTAGGGTTAGATGTCTCTGGATTCCCATCTCTTGGGCTGGAGTTCTGGTAGAGCTAGTCCTGGGACAAGCAGCTGTGGTCCTCCTTTGTCGTCATCGTCATCAACATCAAGCGTAATTATGTAGATTTTATGGAACATTTTAAAATCTAAATGAGCAATTGTGCAGTTATATGAGACATCAGGTAGCTGCCTTGAACTGCCTAACATGGTCCATATGTATTTGTCTAGTACTTTGCAGCATGTGAATGAATGTTCGATACAAAATCTGTATGACCGCTTTGAAACAACAACCGGCTGATGGTGTGTTCTCCTTTCATTCTAGTTTTGTTGTCCATATGTTCACTACTTTGTGATCCAAATCCAGATGACCCCTTAGTACCAGATATTGCACAAATATATAAATCAGACAAGGAAAAGTAAGTATTTATGGCCATTTGGGTTGGATTGGGTATATCTTTGTTCCATGTGCCAAATAAAAGAAAAGAAAGGTTTTATACATGTATTTAAATGAATTAAATCATACTCAGGAAAGCAAATGTTTACTCATGGCTTGCATCTGCTTCTTCCTCATCTTCCTTTCCTTGTTTTATTGGGTACTTTTGTCTTCTTTTCTGTGTCTACTTTTTGGTCTACTTTTTTCTCCCAAAATATTCTTATTTATGTTGTGATATTTCCTAATTGCATGTAAAAAAATTTTAGTGTTCATTTTTAAAAATTTTGAGTTCCAGATTCTCTTTCTATCTTCAGCCCCTCCTTGAGAAAAGCAATTTGCTATCAATTATATATGGGGAGTCGGGCAAAACGTTTATTGGTCTGCTCTTGAGAGGCCCTGTGGTATAGGGGAGAAGAGCGTGAGGTCTGGCTCCAGAAGACCTAGGTTCTGATCCCACTCTGCCACTTGGGATCTAAGGCTAATTTCCTTATCCTGTAAAAGGGAAAGGGTTGGAGTAGATGCCAAAGTCCTTTCCAGCTCTTAAATCTATGATTTTCTAATTCCCCCTTTTTCTACCCTTCCCTTTACTATTTTTAATATACCTTTTTTATTGCTGTCTCCTATTTCTTACTTCATCATAGTTATCCCCAGTATCCTTTTCCCTTTCCCTCCTAGAGAGCCATCCCATAGAACAAATAGTATTTTCCTTCCATTTCCATGCAGTTTAGTAAAGGTTCAAGTCGGCCAGTAGCTATTGAACGTGCTCTGTGCGTGGAGGGTTACGTGTTGAAATTTTTTTCATTGCCTTGGGTTTTTTGGAGTATACATTTGTATTCACTTTCCAGAAGAAAAAATGGAATCCACATGAATTCAGATCTTTAAACAAATAAGCAAATGTCCCAGAAATGAACTTCTGTTTTGAAGTCAGTTCAGGGTTGCAAGAAGTCTGCTCTAGGGGCTGGTGTCCCTTGCACTGCCCATGGGCATGTTTCACACAATCCCTGACCTAAAAGAGACAGGCTTTCCATGTGCCTGATCTAGTAGACTGATTTCTCTCTGGAAGGTGAGTTCTTCATTCTCTTAATTGGTATCTTAACATCCTGATTTACGGTAAGGTAGTGGAGAAATCCATCTAGCTTTGGGAAAGAGTCAACTTTCAAATTTTGTAACTTCAAGGGTTGAATGATCAGACCCTGTTGTTCAGCCTTGGGTGGGTTGATGCTCGCTTCCGTTTAAGGACATTTACACATAAAGCCTTTGAACAGATACAACATATGTCCACATATTTTCACTATAACTCTTTTATATACCCACAGATACAACAGACATGCGAGAGAATGGACTCAGAAATATGCAATGTAAATTGGAAGATTTTTTTCCTATATCCCAGAGTACTGTAAATTCTAGGTTTTTTCAATATTAGAAGTAAATCGAGCACCGTTTACTGTTCCAGTGTACCCTGAAACCCTTTGATTTTTACCCATTTTAAATGTGTTTCTGGAGCAAGACAAAACAAACTTCCAAAAATAACCTTAAGACTGTGATGAGAGTATTTATCCTTTTGTATGCTTTGCAAAAGACATTTATTATGGTTTTTAAGATACTTGGACATCTGCATCTTCAGCCTACAAGATCCACAGTGCAGTTGTAAAGCAACCAAATTATTTTTTGCTGATACTAGATGTTTTTACATGAGATACTGTATGTGTTTGTCTAAGACGTCGTCAGTTTTATAAATCTGTATTCAGATTTCATTCTTTGTTAGCTCACTATATAATTTGTATTTTTTTACTGTATAGACTAAATATATTTTATTTACCATGTAAGTCAACTCATTAGACGTTCTCTTCCTGTGCACAGTATTGATAAGATACAACTGCTAGTAACGAAACGAACGCACGCTTTGCCTCCTTCTCTTGCTTAGGATATTCCGTAGACTGATTGCAGATTCTTCGAACCTAACGTGATCTTTTACACTGTAATTCTCAGTATGCTGATTATGGAGAAACACTTGTTTTGATTTTGTTGCCTACTTGACTTAATTTTATTGCAATGTGAACTGATTGCACTGCTAAGTAGGGAGACATGTACCTTTTATTTGTTGCTATTCACGTTTGATTTTTTTCGTACGTACGGGCAATATAATATTCTCACGGACCTTTTACAGATCTGACTGTAGCTTTTTCCACATAAATAAAATGCTTTTTCTACTACTTGTCATGCCTGTTTTTACAACAAGACTCATTACTAGGTCTATGAGAAAAGATCTGAATATTGTATATAGTTTTGCATGCAAATTGTTGATGAGGAGTACTCCAAATTTTGAAAATAAGGTCTGCCTTATTCAGAGTTCATGTATTTAATTTTCATTTGTTATTATTACATTTCCCGTATAAATCTTGTCTGACATTAAATTAGCATCCCGTAACAGGAAATCATTGTACTAACAAATAATTCCTGTAGCTCTCTTGTTGTAGAGCAAAGTTCAGAATACTGTGGGTCTGTGGTGGATCCTGGTGTTGAGGCGGTTTGTTTGTTTATCAGAGAACCAGAAGGAATCTCTTAGAGAAGATGATTTCACTGTTATGGCAGGCCTGTGGGATGGACCCTGAGTACAGCACTTGTAGACATGAGGCCTAGTTTAATGAATTAGTCAAACTTAATGTGTGTCTACAGGTGCATGTTTTAAAAATAAGTTTGTTCAGTAGATCTAACTTTCATTTTATCCTCAATATTTAACATAGAATTACTAATATAGTATTTTAGAAATGGATTCTCGATTTTGAATTAAACCGATTTTTTACTATAGAAGTTTTAAGAAGACACTAAAATCATGCATGTTTGAGTCTATTTTTGTGAGTAGCTTGCTTCAAAGCCCCAAATTGACTCGTGTCAAACTTTCATTATTACATAATGAAACCTTTGAAGACAATAAATTTTCTAATCATTTGACTTTAAAAACTAGTAATGACTTAACATTTGTCTAGTGAGTGACAGTTTTGAAAGCACTGCATCCATAATCTCATTTGGTCCTCATGACAAAGCCCATGAGGGGAAGCGGGCCAAGTGGTAGTGAGTGCTCCCCTTGGACAGATGAGGAAACAGAGGTTCAGAGAGGACTGCTAGCTTGCACACGGTCACACAGTAAGGAAATGACAGAGCCAGAATTTGAACCCAGGTCTTCTGATTCTCGGGCCAGTGCTATTTCCCCTATACCAAGGTGCTATTATTATTATTATTGTTATTATTATTATTGTTGGTGTTGTTTTCTTTTTCACCGCCTAATGTCTTTAACACAGTCATTTTTCCTGTAGTATTGCAGTGGTTCTATAAATGTACACCTATTTGTGATGGGTTTATGACAATAATTTAAATCGGTTGGCTATCTTCTGGATAGAAAGTTACAGCACAAATAAGCTTATGAAAAAAATAGAGATGTCATGTGTTTTATAAATGTATGTAAAATATTTAAATGAATTGTGAAATGGAAACTTAAAATGTGATTGTTTAAAAAAAAAACCACCTCATCCTTTGAGTATTCATGGTAGAGTCATCCGAAAGATACTTTATGTTCTGGGCTACTTTCTCACTGAATTTGAAATGGGGTTGAGGTAGCTAGAAAGAAACTCTTGGCCTCACTGGGGTGGGTTAATTAATCTGCTTTGGTAGTAAAGGACTTTGTTGGCTGGAATATCCTTAGAGCTTTTGTTTTGTGACATTCATTTATGGAAGTATCATTTTTTTCTTGCATTAAAGTTTCGAAACTTGACAAAATAGTGTTTTCCTTTGCTTTACTCAATTAAATTCTCTTGCTTTGCTTTGCTAGTTCTGAGTTATACAGGAAAAAAGTCACCAACTTGTCTGTCTAATGGAGACAGATGAAAAAGTCTTCACAGCCCAGCAGTGGTATAATGTTGGGTCACATAATCAGTCTTCCAAACAGCAGCTTTCCAAGTGCAAGGGACCCCTTTGCAATTGGGTGGAACAGAAGGGAAATGACCCTGATGGCTTTTTTTTGGCGGGGGGGGGGGGGGGGGCAATTTGGGTTAAGTGACTTGCCCAGGATCACACAGCTAGTAAGTGTCAAGTGTTTGTTCTGAGGCTGGATTTGAACTCAGGTCCTTCTGACTTGAAGGCTGGTGCTCTATCCACTGAGCCACCTAGCTGCCCCCACTGATGGCTTTTTAAAACCACATGGTGCTGGGACTCACTTCTCCCAAGTCTTTATTTTTTTTTTAATTATTTATTGAGTGTTTATTTTTCCCCAATTACATGTAAAAACAATTTTAGACTCCTGAGGCTCGATCCCCCTGGTATTGAGTTGGAAGTCATATTGGCATGGTGAGAAGAGAGAGTGCCCCTTTGGTCCCATGGCTAGGGATGTAATATCTAAAGATTTAGGTTCCAAGCAACTGCCTAGATCACTGTTTTCTGATGCGCTGAGATTTCTGTTACTTTCTTTAGCACTGAACATATAATAAATGTTAGGATTCCAAGTTTTGTTTTGTTCTGTCACAAATGTTTCCTGGCAGAGTTTCAAAATGAAACTTGTCTGAATTCCACTACTTAGCAACACTGAGGACCCACATTGATTAGGTGATGTATATAAATATGCAGAAAGCAAGGAGCTGAGCTTCAGATGAATTTATCCCCTTTCTTAGAACTCAACCAGTCATGAAAACAATAATAATTTCTTTACATTTTACTGGTTTCTCTTCATGCTTGATGAAATCCTTGGCTTTTAACAGGAGACTAGTCTTAATTTTATATTTTAAAATGTAAGAGGTATTGCAAAATTAATTTTCCTTGTGGACCAAGACAATCTGTGGCCAATATGGACTTGATTTGAAAGTCAGCTCAATTTACTCTGGACAGCTTATGAGCTTAATCCAAGGACCTAAAATCACTAGTTGTGTAATGTTTGTAGGAAATTGAAGTTGAATATTGGTAAATCTGAATGATCAACTCTTTGATTGTTGTCATGATGCAATCTGAACATATTTCCAAGTTCTCATAGTTAATTTACAAATATACCAGAAGGCCCTAGTTATTTTAAAAGTAAAGTATTGTCATTTTTTAAAAATATACATACATTTTGAGGAATCTTAATACATTAAACCACAACTCCAAATTATTTACAGTTTGTAAAAAAATATGTGTGTGTATACACACACACACACATACACACACATACATACAAAGGGAGAGGCAGCTAGGTAGCACCTTGGATAGAAAGAGTACCCAGCTTAGAGTCGGGAAGACTCATCCTTGTGAGTTCAAATCTTCCCCTCAGACAAAACTAGCTGTGTGACCCTGGGCAAGTCACCTAACCTTGTTTGCCTTGGTTCCTCATCTGTAAAATGAGCTGGAGAAGGAAATGGCAAACCACTCTAGTATCTTTGCCAAGAAAACCCCGAATGGGGTCCCAAAAGTCAGATGCAAATGAAATGACTAAACAAAATATATATTTATAAAACATTTGTTCTCTTTTTAACTTTAAAGAGTCCTAAAATATTCTGTATACTTAAAGCCTTTTTTCTTTTAGTAAGAGTTATTGATGTCAACAGTTTTCATATTACAGCTATTTTTGAATATGCTCCCATGTTCCTCCATCCCCCGATTTCTCCTCCCCAAGAATTGAACTCTGACTTCTAACAAAGAACAAGAGATAATACTTTGTATTCAACAGTGTATGAAATATTCTGCCCCTGCATTCCCTCACCTCTGCCTTGAGAATTTTCAGTTCTCTGGGAAGAAGATGGCATACTATGCTTGTATGATAAAACAGAATTAACCAAATAGACCACAACAATGAACCACATTTGTTCTTTGTCTACTTCGAGCCTGCCCTAAGCTCTGTGCCCTTTGATTTCCCCCTGTGATGTGTACGGTTCTATTTTGTGTGTTCTTGCTATGCATTCCTTTGGGTTTATGCCTTTCTGTGTTTCCTTGTGTTCTTTATTTCCATTTTTTGCAAGCTTGGCGGTATGTGAATCTTGGAACATCAAAGAATCAGAGTTGCAGATGATCTAAGGGACGACAGATGCAGAGTGGGTAAAAGGTTCACTGTTTCCTGGCGATGACCGAGGCCTAAGAAGTGCCATGAGGGACATCATCCAATAAATGTCTGATTGAAACAGGCCGGTTCTGCAGCTCGTGAGGGGCGGCATGTGGCCAGCCCAGGTGCTCTTCTTAGACCCATGAAATCTGCAAACAAAAACACCCTAGCTAAATCCCTGAAGTATGTGGGAGAACAGGAAGAAAATCACATACAATGAGAAAGAATAGGGGCAGCTAGGTGGTGCAGTGGATAGAGCACCGGTCCTGGAGTCAGGACGACCTGAGTTCAAATGTGGCCTCAGACACTTAACACTTAAACTAGCTGTGTAACCATGGGCAAGTCACGTAACCCCATCGCCTAGCAAAAAAACAAAACAAAACAAAAAACACCAAAAAAACTTTCCAAAACAAAAAAGGAAGTACAGGTGGGTTGTGCTGAGTACCTTGAAGGGAGCACCCATCACTGATCCACTAACCCTGCTATAAGACCATTTCCCAGTGATTGGACAAAGTTGTTTTTTTTTAATTTCTTGTTATTACATATAAAACTGCTATAAATATTTTTGTGCAGTTGCTGTCCATCCCTCACCCCTCTTTCATGATACTTTTAGAATAAAAGTGGTGGAATCACTGGGTTGAAGGGTAGGGATATTTTTGGAATATTTCCAAATTGCTTTCCAAAAAAGTTTGTATCGAGTTTTTCTACTAACAATAAAAAATGCTAATAGAATGCCTATTTCCATTTGTTACACTCCACTACAAATAATATATATATGCACACACACACACACACACACATAAATGTGATTTTGCCTTCCATCTGAATTCCAAGAAAACAAAGAAATGTGGAAGAGAATGACAGTAAATTACAAGTTCATGCAACTGAGGGAAAAAGTAAAAAGTTTTTTTCACTTGTGGTTTCAATTGGTATGGAGAACTAAGTTCAGGAAACGCCTTGTGCCAACACAGAAACATAGTTTCCAAGTCTTGGTCTTAGTTCTGTGGGGCAGTGAAAGCAAATGGTTTGCCCAGGGTCCCACAGCCTCAGAGGCAGGCCTTGACCCCAGGCCTTCTGGATGTTGAGGCCCACCCCTCCATCCCCTAGCCAGGATGCTTCCCCTATTTCCTGGAAACCATCATTTTCCCTGTTTGA